CTTGAAGGTGAAGTAGAACATGGTTAGAATGATGGATACATCTGAGATAGCCTGCTACCTTGGTGTAATGGTTTCCATAACAAGATGGCTGTGGATACCATTGGGTATATGTTCCAAATCAATCTATAACAAATAATGTATGTTGTGCAACTCTGTAACAAACAACGTATGTTGTGCAACTCTGTAACAAACAATATATGTTGTGCAACTCTGTAGCAAACAATGTATGTTGTTCAGCTCTGTAACAAACAATGTATGTTATTCAGCTCTGTAACAAACAATTTATGTTATGCAACTCTGTAACAAACAATATATGTTGTGCAACTCTTTAACAAACAATGCATGTTGTGCAACTCTGTAACAAACAATGTATGTTATGCAACTCTTAAACAAACAATGCATGTTGTGCAGCTCTGTAACAAACACTGTATGTTGTGCAGCTATGTAACAAACAATTCATGTTGTGCAGCACTGTAACAAACAATGTATGTAGTCCGAGTCTGTAAAGAGCAATGTATGCTGTGCAGGCCTGGAAGAAATGGTGATGTAGAAACAAAGAAATCATGCAAACGATGGATGTTAAATAGGTCTGGAACAAAGAATGCATGTAAACAAAATACAAGGTCTGTAATGAACAATGTATGCTGTGTTGGTCTGTGACGTGCTTTGCAGATATGTAACAAACAATGTATTTTGTGCAGTCAAGTTGTGTGATGCAATTAATATTCTCAATAAGCATCTCGGTCCACGAACAATTGAGACGGGAGTTATTGCATTGTGGGTTCAAAGTACAATTTTGTTCTGGCACTATAATGTTCAGAATTAAATCAGTTTCACCATCACTTAGTAGTCAATGCAAGGGAATAGTAAACTAATTTATTTCAATTGCTTGACCATTGGGATTAAGAGGTTCCATTAATGAAATCATTCTCCCAGGTGACCAATAAATTCAATTTGGATTAGAAAGGGGTTGTTATAATGCATCAATCTTGTGAATCTGAATACAACTGAACAATGCTAGTACTTAGCAATAGTGTTTACACCAAGATGTGTTCATATTCAGAGGTTTTGATAAAAAAAGTCAGTCAGTAATATAATTCTTCAATAGTTCAATTTCTATCACTTCTTAAGATTTTTTTATAAAAGTAAATCTCCGAATCAGAACATAGGTTGATCAAAATCTATATCCCCTGATCTTATCAACAATTAGTTAGAGGGTAGTAGTTACTACCAGGTTCTTTACATTTTCAGGTGTTCAGCGTTTAGATCTGCTCACATGCAAATGCACAGAGATACATTTAACCCATGTAATGAAACAGCACCTTCTATAAATGAAAGACAATTTGTTGCACCTGATGTATCTGCTCTGTCTATAAATTATATTTTATTGCTGCCTCCACATTTCATGTATGTTCTCAAGTGATGCTACTAGAGAAGCAGAGGTTTCAGAGGTTACTATAATCTGTTGCTAGGTTAAATCTCTCTTGGTTGCTATGGTAACCGACTAGCTTCACAACATTCACTGAGATAAAATGCTGCTTTGAAAAGTAACTTTTTATCACATTGTTATTTTGAAAAGAGGAGTAAATTGAAGAACCTAAAAAAAAAAAAAAAATTCAATGGTACTTTTAAAAGTTTTATAATTTTCGAACATTGTGGAATCTATATAGAGCCTCTGCTATCCCTCATGAGCATTGAATAAAGAGGGAATCTGATGAATAAAAAGATAATTGATTGTCATTAATGTTCAAAATCTATGTACTGAAAGGTGTGGTGAAATCTTTTTAATAGAGAATAGTAGCATCTTGAACATTGAACTCATTCTGTCAAAAATGTAGCTGCCACTTGAAAATGTAACATTTTGTTACAGTCAGCCCCCAGCTTTGTTATGCTCAACTTTGACTTTTCTCTGCCAAAGATCTGATGGAATCTCACCTTGCAAGCTGTCAGGATGTCTAACTAGAAATATAAACCTGTATGCGGAACATCAGCAGTTTCTAAATCACCCTTGTTCTGAATATATGATTTTCTGACAACTTTTTTTCGTATTTTGAAAAAGTGCTGTATTGTCATCGGCTTGTGCTGGTGGGCGTGTAGGTGGACGTGCGGATGGGCGCCACTAGCTTGAATCAATTTTCGTTTACAATTCAGAATGCTGACTTTTTTGTTTTTTCACCATGTTTTTTTTTCAGGATATTCATTGTCACTTTATTTCTAGGTAAGCTGTCTTTGTCCATAGTTCAGCAGCTTCCTTTCTTGTTTAGGGATGACACATAGAAAACCCATAGCATAATTGATAAAGATTGCTGAACAAACTTGATTTCTCAGTTTATTTTCTTTTTATTTACATATCAGCGCAGCCTACGAGACTGTCGATTTCCAGCTGATTTTAATTGCTTTTTTAAACTAAAATTAACATGTATGAACAGCATGTTAGTTTATGAAAATGCTTATCCACGCTGGAGCTGGCTAAATGAACAGACAGCGAACAGAAGCGTAGTCTTGGAATAATTTCTTGATTATATACTAAAACAACAATTACTATTTGTTGATAAAGTTTGATAGTATTTGACAAGTGGCCTTAGCTGTTTTGGCTTGTATCAGGTTAATTAAAATAGACAAAACATGAGGCGCACATCATGATGACCCACTAATCCTATATTGGGGCTACAAGAGGGTCAATGAACTGAAGTGAGAGCATACATACATTCGTCAGAAATAATTATCCTATGCACTTCAAATCTGTGCTTTTAGTTCAAAGGCTGCCCATTCGAATTGTTTCATTTCGGTTCTTTAAAAGAGGGCTTCATATGCACTTTTAGAATAAGAGTCTTTGATCTAGCTTTACTTAATCAGATTAGCTAGTGTAGTTACTATTCTGCTAGCCTCTGGTCTTTAGGGTGAATATAAGTTTAACAATTGTCAGAACTGAAGGAGACAAGTCATTAACACTATCACAGATAACCATAGTATTCTCTTCATGTCCAGGCCAGAATCCTCATATAATTCTGTACATATATTAGGGGGGAGGCTAAGTTGCCTGCCATCCAAAATACTCACGTTTTTCTGGCTTGTATGCGAGACTAGGTTGTAAGAAAGGAGATGCAATGAATATCAGAATGTCCTTTTAAGGTGGCTGATATAATCATCTTTATTTTTATTATTTCATTGGCTTAATGACTAAGTGATCATCACAATATCTTGAGGAAATGTTGAGGCAGTAGTCACCGTAAAGTTGATTGCAGCTGCAACTTGATTTGGGATGGATAATATTAAACACTCTCGGAAATTTGCATCACTTGATTCTTTCCTTCTTAGTTGCAACATTGATATTTTCTAGTTGAACTGGAAATTGGCGGAATAATTCCCCGGAATAATTCCAAGAATTTGAAATTGAAGAATAAAACCACTAAAATGTTTCTGGAAGATATTAGATGATTCTTTCATCATAAAAATATGATATTTCCAAAACAAAGATACTACCACTCATCTGTCTTATAATATGTAATATTATATGTAAATAAACCTATCATCAGGTGTATCAGACATCAGGTGGAAATAACTTGTAGAGTACTGGCCACTCTTTTACATTTTATGTCTTCCCTATGTTCAGCTGACTACATTATAAAGAGAGATGATGAAGGAAGCAAAGATGTAAACACATGTGAAAAAATGAAAAACACAAAAAGTTCAAATATTAGACTGGGCCAAAAAAGAAAATATTAAGAGTATAAATGGTTAAAAGACAACATATTCACAAACAATTCAACCCAAAATGTTCCAAATGAATGCTTCAACTTTCATGTTCAGCAAGTACATTTTTTAGACAATAGTTTAGATTGGCAATGATTGCCATTGTACACTTTAACCGGAGGAAGTTAAAGTTATAAGATGCATATTCATTTATTCATTTATATTATTACTTCCAAAAATAGAAATCCCATAATTATGTGCCAAGTGTTCCACATATATAGAACAATAACACAATCCACACATATGGAACAGTAAACATAGGTAAACCAATTCGGGTCAAGACAACCTGTAAACCCAGTCTCTTAAGGAATTTCTTAATTATGTAACATAAGAATAGCAATGAATGAAACTAATTAGGAGAAGTCTGAACCCCTGCACTTATCTCCTCCATATGTATAAGACGGGCTATTTAAGATTCAGCAAGAAAAATGATGTCATTTCTAGGGTTAGTTTGATATTTTCTATTAACCCTGATATGAATTTGAAAAAAGGTTTTTAGAAGACCATCTCAGGATAAGATTGTAAGGCATAGAATAGTGACAGATAATGACAATTGTTTTAGGTATATTTAGGTATGATCTATTATTTCTTGTTGCAGTCTAATACATTTGATATTGAAACTTATTTTAGGCATATTTTAAGGTATCCTGTACTGTGTTATTAAAAAAAACATTAGAAACAACAGTGTACGAGGTTTTCATTAAATAGGAAATATTTAGGTGTCGCGGAATTATTTTTAGTATAACCATTCTGACGCATTAAAACATATTTATTTTTTATTTTATTATTTTTATATTTCACAGGATATAATTGTATATTTAAGCAAATTCAGGCTGTGCTTCTGGCTGGAGTTTATTAGTTAGACTGTCGTGATCTACCACAGTAAAAAACTTAGATAGAGCTCTGGGGTATTGCTCAGTCATACCAGGTCCTACTTTGGTGCTATATATAGAGTATGTTAGCTGGTTATTTTGTAGTTTTCTGTCTATATAATGGTGTAATGGGACACTGCATACATTTGTTTAATACAGGATATATGAATGTCATTAATTAACACCATTACTATTAAGAAGAACTTTCTCTATTACTGGATGAGGGAAATGGTATTATCAAGACCAAACCGTAGGTTGAAACTAATTCTTGGGAAGACAGATATTTTTGTATATGACTTATTTTAGTTTCTGATAAATGTGAATCATAAGAATATACTTTAACTAACTTCAAAATATTATCTCATGTATTTTCAGTAGCACATTGTCAGAAGCAATCATTCCGTGTTAGGCCAAGTGACGTTGCACGAATCCAGGGACAAACTGTCACATTAAATTGTGAAGTTGACAATCTTGCAGGCAGAGTACAGTGGGTCAAAGATGGCTATGCATTAGGTAAGCTTAGTTTAGTTTTGATAAAAAAAACATATATCACTTAACATTATGGGCCAGCCATCTTACAAATTAGGAAATATGACTAAAGTAGGTCAATAATGGCTTGCAGTATATTATCAAACTGAAAACAAAAACACATTTTAAGAAAAAATGTGCTTGTTATTTTGTGTTGTCATGCAGTGCTAGTGAACGAAATTTTGTTACATAGATTTAAAGAATTTCCATGTTATTTACATGTGCATGTATGGATTTTATGCATCCTTCCAGGATTGAGTCGAACTATTCCTGGCTATCCCCGATACAGTATTATAGGCAACCCAGACCTGGGAGAACACAGCTTGTTTATTAAGAATGCGAGTCTCAGGGATGACAGTGAGTTTATGTGCCAGGTTACTCCGGCTGCTGGACATCAGCGACTCCTGGCATCAGCATACCTTACTATTATGGGTAGGTGCTTTTATGACATGTATATGGCCCGGTATATGGGTGCTTAAGTACCTGAGCGCAAGATCTTTTTCTCATATAACTCATGTGATATCAACAATGTTAAAAGTATCATCATTTGTGCTATGTTCAAATTTTGGTTTGTGGGGTTCTGCTTGGAGAAGAATGTTGTGCCTTATTTGGGAATAAGGCACGGCAAAGTGAAAACAGTTTTAGAAATAAGATTGAGAGATACTCCGGGAAACTGAAAATTATCTTGATGAATTCACTTGTTACATAACTCACCTTAATGTTAATGTGTTTGCAGTTCCTCCTGAAATGCCTGAGATTGAAGGGCACACAAATGGCACAACTTTGGAAGTGAAACCTTCCCAGACCCCAATAGAGTTCAAGTGTGTATCTCACCATGGAAAACCTGCAGCCAACCTCACCTGGTTTAGAAATGGGAAGGCAATCACAGAGAATGTGGCCTATAGCACTCAAGATGCAGGTAGGGACACAATAAGGTTGTATTGTTTAATTTCCATTGACATGTGTTTGGGATGACGATACGTGTCAGCAGATGACAGGGAAAGGCCAATCACAAGTATACTTAATGGCAGACTAATAAGAGGTTATAAAACAGAGCATCGAAGGGATTGGTAAAAACTTTGAGATTCTGTTTCTGTTAGTTTTAGACTACACCGATCAAAATTCAAATAGGCAAATGATAGAATGGTGTCTTAACTGCTAAAATATACAATTCTCGTTGAGTTCTAAAATGCCTCGAGATTATTATAATTAATCCCTGGATTGTCAACTGTCAACCACACTTTGTATTTTTAACTCTAAAACATTATTAGTAATATTCCCATTTTTTCTTGCCCTTTGAGAAAATAACATGTAAAATTTTACTTTCAATTTCCAGTTTTCCTAGATAGTAAAAAAAATAGTTTAAGATTTCTAATGTGACAATTTTCCACAGATGTCTCAGAGAGAAAAATCACAAAGTTTGGTTGCTAATTCAAGGAGTATCTATAACTTCCAGGCATTGTAGAACTAGAAGAGAGTTGTATAACATTATAATCTATTAACTAAGCGATACAGCATCTCAGAGGTTTTCACCAAACCCTGAGGTTCTTTCAATGAAAAGGGAACCATACTAAAACATAGTATTTTATCAGAAAATTCGATGTCAAAGAAGTCAGTTTATTTTGTTAAACCAGATTATAACGAATGGTAGTCTTAAGAAGTATTATTACATCTCCAGAGATATTGGAATGAATATGAAAAACTAAAGTTACAATAAAACTATTGTTGGAGGTGTAATATTTATATTACATAATATGGATGCAGAAGATTGGCATGGCCACACACTCGGTTCAATGTATTGAAATTTAAAAGAAACATATTTATGATGCTGTAAATTGTGAAGAAGTACAACAGATAATTTCTACTAAAGAAGCAGGAAATACTTATAACTGTGAAAAGCACACAACCTGTTAAATTCCATATGTTTGTTCAAGATGGGCAACTTATGTTTCAAGTCTTAATACCATGAATCCCTAGCCCTATTAGCTAGCCTTACTACCCTTTTTTAGTATAATAAATGATTTTACAGTTTTACTGATCTTTATGATTTCAAATGTTGCTTTCAAGGCTTTTAATGTGAGTTTGAATATGAAATAAATGACATCCAATCAATTGTTTATAGAATAATGACATTCAATTCATTGGGAGAAGGTGTAAATGTTGGAAGTAAAACAGCATTTCAAAATTTTCAAATTTTGTTTGATATGTGGAAGAGGGTTAAACTATAATGAAATTAATTTTGTTTTTCAAAAAACTGTCCAAAACATTTGGACATCATCCCATACATATTGCAATATAAAGATATATTATTGAAAGTGAGGTTTAGTGATTTTCTGAGCACATATTCTGATTGGATAAGAACTTGATCAGTGAATACTCTCTAATTCAAAGAGGGATATGAAGTAGAGCTCATGTAAAGAGTATATAATCTCAACAAGTCTGTTGAAAGAATGGCATGCAATGAAACAGCATGGCTAAATGTCTGCCATGATAATCCCGGGCTTAACATATGCAGCTTTTAATTTCCATGTCTCGCCTAATGATTGCCCATTATACTGTTACATCCTATCAAGGGATTAGAAATCACAGAAACGGACTCTGATGATAAGTCTTTATCTTGATGTTATTCAAGATATGAAGGAATGTTCTTATATTGATTTATTTAACGATGTTAAAGTCTAGCTACAATCCCCTGTGACCCCCCCCTCACACTTCTTGACTACACAGGTTTGAAAACTTCTCACACAGGGGAGTTGCGTAGTGGGGGTGGCGTAAAGGCTTGTAGCTAGATTAATTAAGTGACTTCATGCAGTATGAGCAGTAACTTTGCCAAGGACACTTGTTATATAATTTCTCAATTGCTGTCTTGCATATTCATTATCATTTCTGCAGACAGTGATGTAATACTGATGCCTAACTGAGACAAATTGTGTGTTTAAGCTGTAAAACTAATGAATGATGTCAAGATGTAGAGGTGAATCATATATTGCAAAATGAAACAGAAATCACTTTGTAGTAAGCTGCATTTATAAGATGTTTATTAGAGTAACATTTTGAGATCATACAAAATTATGTGTGACATATTTGAAGTTTAGTTTCATGCAAGTTTTATTATACTCTTTGCAAGACCTTGATTTCATCTCCACTCTAGATTAGAGATAATTCTTTGATATCTAATTTGAATAAGTAGTCAGTAAATTTTGTCCATAAGGAGCTAGCACTCATCATGTTCAACTTCAATAAAAAGCAACAGATTCATTTGAGATTGTTAAGATTGTATCAAAACTGTAAAACATTTTGCTTCAGTCAGAGGGCTCTGTGGCTTACCAATTATGATCCAGGGTAAATCTAGTTATCGGTCTCTTTCTCCAGTTAGGAAAGATTATTATTAATATTTTGATATTATTATTGATATCACTATTGATATTTAGTCTAGTTGAGCTGTTGTATTTTTCATTCTCATTCTCTTCTCTTCCTCTCTTTCCTTTTAGGCAATAAACTGCTGAATGCAATGAGTGTGCTGAGCATCATACCTGATGATGAGGACAATGGTGCTTTCTTCGCATGTGTGGCTACCAGCCCTGCACTGCTCAATGGCAAGGAGCTCAAGACTGTAGTAGAACTCAGTGTGCTGCGTGAGTATAAATTTTGTTGTATGGACCAGTTGGAAGAACTTTTCGTGCCTTTTGGGGAATAATACTTGTATAGTAAAACCTGTATATCTGAACATCTTCCTAATATTAACACCTACCTTGTATGAACACCTCTCGATGTAAAAGGTATCTTCGGTCCTATTTTTTGTTAAAAAAATCGAAAAGTGAACATCTTCCAATTTGAATACTTTTGCCCTGTCGCGGTGGCATTTTAGAACAAACAGAGACAGGGCTAAGTATGTTTAAGAATGTGGTCATCTTAGAGAATTGGATGTAACATTGGAGCTAATGAGGAAAATAAAAATGGGCCTAAGAAAAAGTGTTCACATCACAGAAGTATTGCTCTTAACTGAATATATGGATTTTTCCCCAAATCAAAGTTTCTAATTTTTCTTTGATGAATTGCAGATCCACCAGGTCCCCCAGAGATCACAGGGTACAGGACAGGACAGGTCGTGAAGACAGGAGACACTGTTGTTCTTGTATGCAAATCCAGAGGTGGAAACCCATTAGCTATGGTACAAACTAACTTTATTCTTCCTCTTATGAATATCTGTTTTCAATGCTATAATTCAATGGTTTAGTCCAGTAAGACATGTCTTCTGCAATGGTGTATTACAAATTCAATTTCTTGAACCTCTGGTACTGGCATGGGCGTAGCGCCCGGTACGCTGGGTACGCACAGGCGTACCAGATGGTTGCAAATTCGCTCCAAATACAACCAAATTTCAAAAAAAAACCAGACCCCCCTGAATGGTCGTTTTTTGGTTCACTCAACTCTTGTTCCCGTGGTGGCGTACTACTTAGAAAAATAGCGCTACACCCATGACTGGTATATTACATGCCTAGAACCAGGTTCCACTAAGTTTGAGAAAATCTTTGCCAATTTTAACAAGAAATCCTAAAAACCTCATTTTGATTACAAAATGGGTTCATATTCTGGTCAGGTTTTGAGAAGGGGACCTCATGCTCTATGAGCAAGATACTAAATATCCTTTTTGTGTGGTTTTGCAGGTATACTGGTACAAGAATGATGTGTCTGTAGATCGATCCTACACAACTGACTCCAGCGCTAACATGGCTAGGAATGAGTTTGAATTTGTGGTTGACTCTACAGACAATAATGCTGTATACAGATGTGAGGCCACCAATGTTATCACATCATCAAGTCCACCCAGTGCATCAGTTAGGATGACTGTACAATGTAAGTGACGAATGATACATGGCCAATTGATTATAACTTTGTATGATTTTGATTATAATGATGATGACATGGTAAAATACAAGCTGTGAATAAATGGGAAATGGATTCTCAGAAATTATTCTGCATGAATTGTTTCCTGTGATATTATTTTAATATGTATAGGCAATGGGTTCTATTCCCAAACATTTTCTAATTCGTCTATTATACAGCATAACTGTTATTATTAATTGTATAGAGCCATTGTTTAATTGTCCTATAGGCTGCCTTATACGAAGTTGAACAAATGAAAAGAACACTTCTTATTATTGACAATGTTGTTAAAACTTTCAGTCGCTCCTACCAAGGTAACTATAATTGGTGACCAGCATGCTAAAGCAGGTGAAGAGGTGACGCTGTCTTGTACATCAACCAACAGTAACCCCCCTGCCCTCATCACATGGGACGTCAGGGGCAGGCAAGTGCCAGGGACGACCACTCAGAATTGGGAGTCTCCCCTCGGTGGCTTCATATCGCAGTCCAATATTACAGTGCCTCTCACTAATGCTGAGAATGATATTGAATATACATGTCAGGGGACGAATGATCCACTTGGGACCACTGTGTCGGCCTCCATTACTCTCAGTGTCTTGTGTAAGTATAACATGTTGTATTTCTAAGTTTTGGAATGTAGAATCATTAGGAAATATTAAATAATGGTATTCTAACCAGGTGTCTGCTCAAGTGGGTGCAAATTTACCTTTTTTGCAATTCTAGCCAAAGTTGGTCAAAATATGCCAGTTTTTCATAATTCTTCACATTGAGTTTATGTATTTTGGTTTGTTTCATTTTCTAATCTGATGATTGTCTCTCAAACCAAGTTAATACTTTGTGTTTCTAGATCCTCCTGATAAGCCTGAGATCACAGGTTATACACAAGGTAATTCTATAGAGGCAGGCCTAGTGAAACACATGATGTGCAAATCTTATGGTGGCAACCCTACAGCAACACTTACTTGGTGGAAAGGTAATTTATATGCTACAAATATTTTCTTATCTCCTATCTCTTTGATTAATATCGTAGAAGTAATATAACCATGGCTACCTATAGAAGGACAATACTGTGCTGTATTTGTATCTTTCTTTACTTTTATCACAAAAGAGAATTGTTTAATCAATTTTCCACGTAGAGTTTGATGTTTCAGTTTTGTTATTAACCAGTTTATCTGTTAATCTTAAGCTAACATCGTTTCTTTCAGGAGATGAATTGCTTGAATCAACTCAGAGACAACAAGGTCAAATCGTCACAAGTGAAGTTGATTTCATTGCTAGACCTGATGACAATGGTGCAGAATATAGATGTAATGCTACCAATCCTGCTACAGTTACACCCCTCATAGACACAATCACACTGACAGTACACTGTAAGTGGTTCTCAGCTTTTGATAATTTGGGCATCCAGAAGTGTCAAAAATGTTGCCATTTCAGTACTACTGAACTATCTTGAAACTTAGTACAGCTCTTCCCCAGCAAACAGTATTTGTGAGTACCAAAAGTGGTGCTAGCAGCAGGCAATGATTTTGCCATTTTTTTGTTTGGAAATTTGTTCTGTTTCTTTGTAAAATTGATAATTTTCCCATTGTTTTGTTCATTTTGCCTGAAATTCAAATGATACCTCTGGATACACAAAACATAAATCATGTTTATTTTTATTTCAGTCCCACCAACTACTGTTGCCATAGAGATGACCCCAAGTGTACTAAGGGCTGGTGTACCTGCCACTATGATATGTACTAGTGCAAGCAGTAATCCAGCATCTGTAATAACCTGGTACAGAAATGGGCGCAAACTACAAGGTACCACCAGTTTTCTGGGAGTTACGGCTACCAATTGTAATAATCCTACATTTATTCAAAATACCCATTGAATTGTTTCACTCTGCTGAAAAGAAGATGTAGGCTTTTGAGAGTGAAATCATCATACAGATTGCTTAAGTCTCTTCCAGAAAAGATTCCATAATAGCAGCTGAAATATAAAATCATCTTAAAACTGTGTTAGAAATGAGCTTTAAGAACTGTCCAGGATTGAAAACATGCATGAACAAGGTTGTTACATATACCCATAATTGTAGGTGTTAACATGGGTGTAACAGATGCTGAACATGGTGGGAAGTCTACCAAGAGCAAACTAGAGATGACACCTACAGCAGATGATGATAATGCTATATACTCCTGCAGGGCCAGCAACAATGAACTGCTTCAAGCCACTAATGATGCTGTAACTCTTGATGTGCTATGTAAGCAAATTTCACTTGTGCTTTTTAATTGCAGTTAACCTGTGGATGTGAACATCTCTTTAGAGTGGACATCTTTATATGTAAAGATATATAAGTTCCATTTTTGGATGTCGTATATTGTCGTTCATTTCATCACCCAAATCTGGGTATGTGAATAAAATAACACTTAACAACAACACTAGAAGACAAGACCCATGTTGATAGAACCTCCTAATGTGAAGAGCTCAGCTCCAAGTTCTACCTCTATCTATATTGAGGTCCAAGAGGTGTTCCAACAGTGTTCATTTATTGTTATTTAATATATTGCTTATTGGCTCATTTTTAGATGCCCCTGTGTTTCTTAATGACATTGGCAACAAGGTGGATAGCATAGAAGGAGACTCAACCAGCCTCAACTTCACAGCATCTGGCAATCCTCCAGATGTCACATACACCTGGTACAAAAATGGCGAGAAAATCTCAATGAAGAAGAAAGGCAAACGTGATGTGTCTCTTCCACATTTTATATCTGATGGTGGAGTACTGAATATCACTAAGGTGAAGAAGGGAGACTCTGGTGAATATATGTGTATGGCAACTAACGCTCAAGGCAGCGAGACAATCAATATAACCCTCAATGTACTGTGTAAGTATGACGTGGATACTAGGATAGGATGTGCATAAGAATCTTCCCTAATATAGTGTTTTGAATTCTTGGAATTTCTATGGTTGAATTGTGTACCGGTACTAGCAACTCAAAATGTACACTGTAATAGAATTCCACTCATTATATATTATAATTGCATTCCAATACTTTGAATGAGACCTGCCCGCCCCAAAATGTTGGACTTTTTATGGTTTAACGCTCAAAATGTTTTAAATATGTATTGTAGAATAGAGCTTGTTAAATGATTGCTTACATTCCAGATGGTGCTAAAATCAAGTCTATTTCCACACCAATCCTTGTTGATCAGGGAGATACGGCTGTCATGACGTGTGAGGCAGAGGCGAACCCATACGTCAATGACATGGTTAAGTGGGTGAGGGAGAGCTATGAGTGGCTAAAGGTGGAGCAGGTCTATACTGCAGGAAAGGCCACCCTCACTGTGAAGAATGTGGAGAAGCAAGATTCGGGGATGTTTAAATGTGTGGCTAATAACAACATTGGGAAACCAGTTGAGAAGAATGCACACCTAATTGTGAAATGTAAGGATGTCATGTAAAGGAGGGCCTGTCTTGAAAATATCATGAGTTTTGATCAATGAAATTCAGTTGTCTTAGTACAATATTGTCATAGTTACAGCATGAAAGCCAATTCAAAATCAGGAATTGTGAGTGTGATACATAACCACAAGATATGACTCTGATGCACTATTCATATATTAAATACTTAATTGAATTATGCGACAAATTTAAAGCCTTTGATTCTAAATTGTTTACTAAAATCCCTCTTTTAATGTTTTTAGATAAACCTGAGATTGACAGGTCCCCACAATACTTGAAGGCTGCCAGTGAAATAGGTGGCACTGCTAGTTTGATATGTAAGGCACAGGGGGCACCAGAGATCACATTCAATTGGTGGAAGGTAAGTCACACTTCATCAACCTTGAACATTTCAAAAATGTTATAGAATATAACTGGATGCTAATTCAGCAAACAATTTTGAAAATTCATGTTCATTAAAGTTTACCAGAAATGATTTCTTTTAGGAATTTAAACTATGTTGACTTATCAACATTATTTTCAGTAATATTTTGTTTTCGTGAATGAGTATACATACAACTATCCTAAATAGTCTCTTATTAAACATGAGTATGGTATGTGTTTTGAGGAGATATACAGGACATGTTTGGTTTTAGGGAGCTGATAAACTGACTAATGATCCAAATTTTACAGTAAGAGTAACTCAAAGACTTATTATTTGCCTAATAGCTGAGCGGTGCACTTGCTTCCATTACTGATATAATTCACTTTACACACCTAATAACATATACATTATGTAGTACACGTATCAGGCCCGTAGCCAGGGGTGGGGGGGGGTTCGATGGGCTCGAGCGAACTCCCCTGGCCAAAAATTCTTTCAAAATCATTCAGTTTTTCACCATTCTGAGCACTTTTTAAGTGATTTTGGCCATTTTTGACCAAAATTGTCAAAAGTGAACCCCCCTGGAGATTTCCAAAAAGTGAACCCCCCTTAGCAAATCCTGGCTACGGGCTGCGTATCTTTGACATTCTTTGTTTTCAAAGGTGTACAACATCAGGGCTTAGATATTTTAGATGGTTTTCAGCTTATGTTGACTGACATAATAGACCACAATATAATACATGCAGCTTATTTTGTCATTGGTATACTAGACTAGACTATGGAGGGGTTTCACAATTAACATCAGCGACTAACAAAATTTTATGTCATTTTATTTTATAAAACATAATAATACCTTTAACAATCACCTAGTAATCCTTCATTTAATTTATTCACTGAATAATATTTTATAGTAATCTCTCAATCCAAGTTTTTCAAAAGCATTTATCAACTTGGCTTTTAATATAATATTTTATTGTAGTCGCCACTTAATTCAAGTTTTCCTCATGCAGTTTATCAATTTGGCTTTTTATAATAATTTACCACAGTAACTCCTCAATCTGAGTATTTCCCATGCAGTTATCAACTTGGCTTTTTATAATAATCAGTCATAGTTACCCCCTTAATTCGGTTGTTCCCCATGCAGTTATCAACTTGGCTTTTATGATAGTTTATTATAGTAACCCCTCAATCCAAATATTCCCCATGTAGTTATCAACTTGGCTTTTCCAATTTGTAATCTTAAGGTTAGATATTACACTGTAGGTTCAATCTTAAACTCACAGATTGCAGCATCAACATGTAGAGCAAACCAGAAATATTTTTCAAAAAACTCGAAATCTATCTCCTGAAAAGAGCTAAAATGTTTATAAATCTGTAGAAATATAGTGTTATTGAAACCAATGTCATTTTGGTTTCACAAACTAAAAACATTATTCAACTTCCCATGCTCATTGGCAGATTTTTATTTTATTTTCTTCGTTTTTTACATGTTTTGCTTTATATTCACATCACATATATTTATCCCTTTAGGGTGCGGAAAATCTGACAAGTGATTTCAAACATGTGATAAGAAGAAAGAAGATAGACGTCCTGAACTTTAAGAGTACACTAACAATTCGTAACATCACAAAGGCAGATTATCATCGCTATGTGTGTATTGCTCAGAATGTACTCGGCAGTGACAATGTAGGAATTACTCTAGATGGAACAAGTAAGAGTTTTTCCTTTGTGAGTTCAGAAATATGCTACGTCAAAGAAAATGCCCTCCTAGTCCATCTTATTCATCAATTTTTATCAGGCACTGAAGACCTCATTCATGTTTTCAATGAAAATCGACATGATTTAAAGTACACATAGCCAACAGTGTGTAAACAGTTCGATAATGCTGTTAAACTTGCAGGTAAACCAGACCCTCCACATAGCCTACAGTATGTTAACAGTTCACACAACAGTGCAACATTGAAGTGGACCCCAGGGTTTGATGGTGGGTCTAAGACAACATTTATGGTGAGGTACGTCCAGACTGGAGGCAAGAACTACCTATATGCAGATGTGGAGAGCTCTATTTACACGATTACAGGTAACTGTACTATACGTTACAACATTCATGGGCTTTCAATATTGAATGCCCATGCAACTATTCAGTAATGCTTCAGTCACATTTGATCTATGGCAACCATTCGGTGGGCATAGCTTCCCAAAAATCGAGTAAAAAGTAATTAGAATTTTTTGTGTCAAACACACAATTATAGTTGAATTTTTAAACTAGAAATTATACTTTATTTTTGGCCCTATATCTGTCATATCTTGCTATATTTCATATGCAATAATTACACAATTATTATAACGAGGCAATATTTTATTCTTCAGTTGACCTCCTATCCCATACTTAGTAATAAGAAGAAACATTTTTGTTGTAGGATTAAAGTTAGGAACAGAATATGAGATATCAGTGCGTGCCAAGAATAAACTTGGTGATAGTCCATTTTCTCCTGTAATCAAGGCAAAGACTTCTAGCATGCTACCTGATACCACTACGGCAGACTACAGCAAGGGTGATGACGTTCCTCTCATTATAATTCTCTGTGTCTCAATTATCGGGATGGTCCTCCTGGGATTAAACGTCCTCTTGATCTTATACCTCATCAGGCGTCGCAGGAGGAAGCTCATGGAGAAGGACTCTGATGAGACCATAAGCCAGGGGAATACTATAGAGATGTACACGTCACATGATGGTCCCATGTTTCCCCCACAGCCAGGAGATGATAAGAGCTACACTACATATGATACTCATGATGATTTTACCGATGACATATATGCTGGGAGAGCTGAAGTAAGTAGCGTCAATGCATATGAGGGATTCATTAATTCACATAGACATTGAAATGCCATGTCAGTATCAATGGTTTTACTTAACCATAGGCTGGTTACTAATTTTTGTATTTTGGCCTGGTCCCTTGTACAATACTGTACTTGGATTGAATTATTGAATAATATTTTTTTGCTGCAAATGAATGATCTAGCTTTAGTTGTAAAACAGTAGTATTGTATTGGATTAATGGTGATATAGTTTAGTGGTTTACGTTTTATTATTTCCTCATGTATATTTTATTTTTGCTTGCATACCCCCCCATATTCTTCTTTAACTCCTGGCTAACATTTAAACTTTCCAAATTCTGCAAAATGTTTTAGCATGCTTTTATATTTATTTTAATTGTTTATGTTGGCAGAAGAAGATTTATATGATTAACTGCTCTAGGCCCTTGCCTACTCTCAGAGAAGTCCGAGTGAGTAATTGAGCGTGCTTTGTGTATTTTGAATTATTTTCTATGTTGTTTTATGTTGTGTCCTTTAATTAGGGGACCTGAATTTGATATTCTGTGGTCAAAGCGTGTTTCAGAATTAGTGTGCTTTTGAAAGAATCTTTCTGTCGTTAATTTTGGAAAACTAATTGAATTGATGCAAAATTTTGTTGTGCTGGGTTTACTGGTATTCTTGTTTGCAATCAGTTTCCGCACACTGAACCACTACATGTGTGTGTATTGTATCAGATAGCATCTGAACTCTGTTGTTGACTGTTGTAGTGCTTTTAAAAGATGAGGCCTGACTGAAAATACATTATGGCCATATATAGGCATTCAATTTTGGTAGAAAATATTCAACCTTTCTAAAAAATGAATTTTCTTTTTCACATCATTTTCTTGTGTGTTTCACTAGACCAACTACATGTATTTCAACCCCCTGCGTCAGTTTTTAAGAACCAAAAACCAAATTAAGTCCATTAATTTTTATTCATAAATTATTCTAAGGAAAAAGTAAAGTAAAAGAGTGATTTCAAAGCTTCCATATATGGTATGTAATATGTTTTATTTAAAAACATTTGATATAAACCCTCTATTCTGCTTCAGTATTAAGGATGGCTAAGGTGGGCCAAGTGGTATGCCTTAATTTGACTGCGTATGAAGCCTAACATCTAAAAGGTCTATTTTGACACAAGTGTCTGGATATAACTCCGTGATCTCCTCAGCATTAAAGCAAGTGGGTGTAGCATCCGCCTGAGATTTTAAAAACAGGCTTGCACTATATTTGCACCCACTTGAAAATCCATTTGCACCCAGCACTTGAAAAAGAGACAAATCATGAAATATTGGCACCAACTTCAGTCTGAATTGTGAAAAAGAAAATTCTGCACCCACTTGAGAAAAAATCCTGGGGAGAACACTGAAACTGTATAAATGTTTAACACCATATAGTAATTCTTGTTATTGTTGTTATAGGAAGAAGAAGATCTGAAACGTAGCTTCCTGCCCCAAAACCAGGACACATATCCACCACCAGGTTACTACTCAACAAACCCATCTAATGGACACGCAGTGCCACCTGCTGATGCCCAGAGGAACTATAGTACTCACCAATGGCCCAATAATGAAGGTAAAAACACCATTTGTCCCGATTGTGTATTCCCTCATCCATCATCCTCCGAATACAGGCCTCCAGAACTAGTACATCGGAAGGAACATAGTAGATGATGTTTGGAGTCCTGCGTTTGAAGGATGGTCATCCTTATAACAATAATCTACGAGTAAATTGATTGTATAAAATTGAATACCAAAACAACAAATCTCAAATATTACATTGTTATTTTCTTTTTTTTGATTTTGAAGTTTATTTTCTATAATCCTAAGGCCCTCCCGGTTATCCCAGTAAGCGCCCTGCCACAATGTATGTTAATGGTTCTTATGATGAGGGCTCAGATCCAGCAGGTACTGGGCATGGGGTGAATTTTGTATAATTAACTATATAGTACTGTTGAGTATTTCAGCAGCTTCTTGTGTTCAAACATTAACCAGTGAAATGTTGAGAATAAGGCTGCATTCAGTTATGTCTTGTGTGAATTTTGAGTGAATGGCTATATCATTTTTTATCAATATATGTTACTGTATCCTCACTTAGCTGAAGTTATAAGAGCAGATAGTGTTGAGTCCATGATGTGCTCACATATTTGAGGTGATGCTTTATTTGTATGTAGCAGGGTATATCCGTAAATGACAAGGGGAGGGGGCTTTATTTTTTAGACAACCATTTCCTGTGATTGAATGGAGAAACTTTTGGCTCATTTTCTAAAACGTTGGCACTCATTTTTTGGAAAAAAAACTGCTATCTAATGAATGAGACCTATGTATTAGAATAGGCCCAATAAGCCCAATCTTTACTCTGTAGGCAATTTAGGGCCTGCCCACTTTAACCCCTCCCCATTTTAGCCCCTCCCCATGTCTGTTTCGTAAAATATATACAGTAAATAGTATAATAGATTTACAATAGAATACAGTGCTACATTTTCTCGTTCATATTGTCATGCACAGTTGTGTGGATCTCAGTTCAGTGATCTCCCCAGTATTAAAGCAAGTGGGAGTGTGCCCCTCATCCACTTGAGAATTTAATAAAAGGCTTGCACCCAACTGAAAATCCATTTTACCGTCTTGAAAATGAGCAAAATCATGAAAAATGAACAATTTTGACCGATTTTTGTCAAAATTGAGAAAATCAGAATTTTGCACCCACTTGAGAGAAAATCCTTGGGAGAATACTGCAGTTGTTTGAATATTGCTTTTACATGCTTTATAACTACACTTTACATGTATTTAATGATCTGATAAGCACAGTTTTACAACTTAATTAAATACACTACTGTTATACACCTCATGGATGTGTGCATCATGTATTGTGATTTGCAGAAATCAGTTGTCTTTGACAGTTTTACTGTTGCAGTTTGGAAAAATTCAAGACAACCTCGAGGCCATGACTTTGTATGATCCAAGAATTTATCTGGATAATTTTATCTTTTATTATAAATCTTGGATTATTGATCCAGATAAATACCATGACGAAATTTATCTGGACCAATCCACGATTGTACCAATTCATGGCCCCTGGAGTCTATGTACTACATTCTGTATACTGTAAAACCTATGTAAATGAAATAGCCTAGGTTCAGTATAAAAGTGTTTCACTTAATAGGTGTTGAATTTATCAAGGTTCAATTAAAAGTATGACAATAGACCTTTCTAAAAACCCTACCATCTTTTGAATAATCAACAAAATTTTGATATATTGGCTAGATTGATGATGTCATCGGCTGTACCTTTTCCAAATTAGCAATAAGTCAATCTTATATTTCTTTGGACAGATTATTACCTACAGGCTAAGACATTATCAATCTAAGCAATATATCATAACTCCTTTAATGTGCCAAAAAATGGCAGCTCTCATTGGAGAGGTCTATTGGTCACAGACTTAAAAAATTAGTTACAGAGGTGTTCCATTTCACATGTTTAACTATGTATCTAATTAACCATATTTTCTGCAGTCAGTGCCTAGAATGTGTGTGAAATTCATATAGTAACTCATCTTGATATTACCATGGATATTACTGTATATATTCTATTTTGGGTTTGATTTATAATTTGTTCGAATTGTTCTTAATATGTTTTCACTGACACAAAATGAAAAAGACAAAATGCAACAAATAAATATACTGCCCTTTGTTTATATTTGTTGATTTTGTTGAACATACACATACACATACTTTCCATCACAATTGCACATTACATTTATTTGGAAAGAGACATTTTGAATGCGAAGTTAAAACCCTTAGAAATCACTCAAAAATCTCATATTTTATTTTTATTTTTTCTCTATTATTTTGCTTATTGACAACTTTTAAAGTACAATCAAATATGTTGACAGGAACTAGGTAGATGTATTGTTGACCATGTAAAAGCAAAATTGTGATTTTTGTTGTAGGTGGAGGATTCACGAACAGTATGCCAAGGTCAACTCGTATTGATGAGGACGCCATCTATGCCGAAACTCTACGCAAAATGCAACAGAATATGGCAGGAGGTCAATTTGACACTGCTGGACGTCCAAGAAGAGATGAGGTATCTTTGATTACTGCCCTTATTATCTTGCATCCATACTTTTCACAAGTTACCATTCATTGTTAAGCTTTGCACTTTTTGATAATTAGAAACTTTGAAGAATGAATTAATGAATATTTCAGCAGTACCTGAAATTCAATGAATTTCATCAAGCAATTCATCTATATGTTAGAGCTGCATTATATAATGTTCAATCTACATGAACTTGTGCTTGTGATTTCAGTCCGGCAAGCAGCGGCCAGCTGGTAAGCAAGCTCCCCCACCCCCAGTTAGGTCATCAAGTCAACGTAGTATGCCCCCCTCTGTCCCAGATAGGAATTATGGTCCCGAGGATATCCCAAACTCACCTAGATATGCCCCAGCCCCAGGTATGTAAATTGTACACCCTTGCCTGTATGTGTTTGTATTAAAGTGTACATGCACCATTGAATTAATGTAAATAAATGACTGCCTATCATCGAGTGCCGAATACGATTACCAATGATAATCCATATTAATGCAGAATAGTAATAGTATAATTCACAACTGCACACTACGTTACTTTCCCACCTGTAAAAATTCTTATAAGAGGATGAAATATTTTGTAATTTTATCTTGGTGGTGATAATTTTTGTGACTCTTGATGTTGATGTCTTTGAAAATGTTACACTTTTCTAGGTAGTGACATTTTATAATGTTAATGCCATGCAATTTAACCTTCATATGATTATTAGTTATGACTCCAATTGCAGGTGCTCAATCTACATATGCTAGTCTCCCCAGAGGTGAGATAGCCACAGCAAGAGCCAAGCCACAGGTCAAAGGTCAACTTGTGTAAATAAAGCAGAATTTCCACCTACAGGCATAATATGTATTGCAATATTACTTCAAGTGAGGCATTTAAGGAGCTATAGTTCTCACAACATTTCATAGTGTTACAACTTACAAATATTGCAATTATGGTGTTTTATATCACGGATACAATTTGTGAAACATTAACTGAAGTGAAGGACAGTTTTAACCTGTAACTGCTTGATGATATTTGGCATTACATGCATGTATTAGTGTTACAGTCTACTTGTATGGTGATGCACTGCACTAATATGGTTTTTCAGTACACCGGTATGGTGTTACATTGTGCACAGTACCAAATGGGGTGTTACAGTACACCAGAATGGTGTTACAGTGTACCAGTGTGATGTTACAGTGAACCAATATGGTGTTACACTGTACCAGTGTGATGATACAGTGTACCCGTATGGTGTCACAGTGTACAATTATGGTGTTATAGTGTACTGAAGTGTACCAATATAGTGTAAATGAGGGTCACAACCAACATATGTGCCAAACTAAAGTGGAACTCGCACTGATAGATTGTGTGTGGTACTATAACAGTGGAAGGTCTATACCTAACATACTGTTATTGTTGTTCAGAGTGATATTGCTGAAGTAAATTATATGATTTGTGTTTTTCCCGCACTGTTAGTTATACTTCAGTGCCTAGATAATTTGAGATGTGTACAATTCTTTTATGTTATATTGACCAAACCCACATATCAACAATTAAAATGTCTCATCTTGTAAGTAAATACATACATTTCACATGCTAAGTGCACAAAAAAAGATTTCTATTTTATATAGAAAGTGAAACTAAGAAATTATGTTGGTCAAACTGGGTTGCAATTTTGTATGATCTCATTGACTTCTACCAGAGACACCTGATTGACTGCTGTATGCTAATATGTGTTAATATTAAAAAGGACATTATTTGAGGCACATTGGCAGTTTTGTTAAAAGGGTCTTTTCTCTATGTATGATAAAAACATGTTAATGCTGAATACATCATGGTGAACTGACAGCATTTGATCTACCTTAGAGGCATTCATTCTAATTGTTCAATAAAGACAATGGTTTGAAAATTATTATTCATTCTAATTGTTCAATTTGCAATGCCAAAGACAATGGTTTGAAAATTATTTCACATTGTAAGTATTCAATTGTATTGTTTGTTTTTTTATATTGTAGTTAAATATGATTTACTGTCGTTAGATATGCAAAACTGCTGCTAGTTAAGTATTTTTCTATAAAGGTGTAATTTCTTTTTTTATTTGTTATTACTCCAATTCATGTAATATCAAATTTAATTTCTATATCGCCCACTATTTGTACATATTCATGTATTCATATTTGCATTTTGTTTAGTATTACAGAGCCAAAATCTCTAAGATGCAATATCAAGAGTGGTGATTCCACGCATTATGCTTGGATTCTCATTGTCGCATAATTACAAGTCAAATCTGTGCAATTGAACATAATACCATAGTGCCAATCTAAAAAGGAACATTAACATAGAGGTTATAAATGTTGAGAACAATATCCACAAATCACTAGTCAATTAAAGCCAAAAGTAATATAATAGAGTTCGCATAGAGGGCTAACTTTAGCGTGCAATGGAAATTTCTTTTCTATTATATGTACAATACATAAAACTTGTGCCAAATTAATTTGTTATTGAATCTCAAATATACTTATTTCGTTAAACATTTTGTTAGAACAAAGTTTTACATATGAGCAACATATTATAATTCAATCATTTCAACAAAGAGAACAGGCCTGTAGCCAGTTGGCCCCTGGCCAAAAATTCTTTCAAAAACATGTATGTTTTCACCATTTTTGACATTATTGGACCAAAATTGTCAAAAGTGAACCCCCCTGAAATTTTTCAAAAAGTGAACCCCCCTTGGCAAATCCTGGCTACAGGCCTGGAGAACAATATATAATATGCTAGTGCAAGAGCTTAGTAGGATGACTAGAGTATTTGAATATGAAGACCTTTACTATTTTTAGAATGCATCAACATTTTTGATTGCTAATTAACCATATCAATGAACGCATTTTTCTAGAACTTCCTATTTAGTTCATGTAATTGTACAATATTAGTTCCTTAAACATGATACCATTTATGTGGTTATATGATATATATATATATTTGTGAGATTATAAAATTGTATCAATCTTTACTGTTGTGTTAAAACAGTTCATAATCTGAACTGGGCAATGATTTTGACAGTTTGTAATTGAACTGTGCAATAATTACAAAAGGTCATAATTTAGGATGTGTAATAATTTAAATGACGTAATAATTTAGACACTTCCAGTAAGCGTCTAAATATTGGCTTATCAATTCTAATGTTTAGTACTTTAATATTACTGTCTTGTAACATTGTTTGGTACTTAAGTGCCAATTACTGATCAGTTGACTTCTTGTTAGAGATCCCATGGTGGTCAAAGTAGTGTGTACATCTAGGGGAAAAATAGTGTTGAAAAAATTGGTGGTCATAGCAACCGGACTTCTAGGAGGATAAAATTGGTGGTCATAGCAACCCGACTAATGAGAACACTATTCTTGACAAAATGGTAGTCATGGGAACCTAACTTTTAGGAGAGCAATATAGTTGATAAAATGGTAGTCGTGACAGCCTGACTTTTAGGAGAACACTATTGTTGATAAAATGGTAGTCGTGGCAACCTGACTTTTAGGAGAGCAATATTGTTTTTTCACTTATTTCTTGTTCTCGTTTGACCACCATGGGTGCCCTAATAGTTGTTCATACATACATGTATGTACATTGTATGTAAATAGTTGTACATAGTGTATATTATTTTAGTTGAAGGGATATTGTATATTATTAGTGTATGCCACATGATTTACACTCTAGATATACAGCCATACATCATGCCTAGCCACATAACAGATGTCTTTAGTGAAATGTAAAAGGAATAAAGTATGATTTAGACGCAAGGTCCGGACATCATTCAATATGTTCATTCTGCATTGATGATGCCTGAACCCTTACTTTTTAACATGCGGAGTTTTTAAAGGCATAATTTTATTACCAGAAAATTATGCAAGGCATGAAAGTGTGCCCTGTTATGGGCCTAGGTGTGAGATAAAAAAGAGATCTGATAAAAAATGTTTAATTAATTGTATGATACACGATGTATATAATATGAACAAATGATCTGAGTGAGTATAGTACAAAGTTGAATACCATTTTGGTATTTTCAAGTTCATTTTTTAAAAGTGCATTAATGGTACAGTCTTTGAAGTAGTAGATCACAAGTTGATATCAAAAGATCAGAAACAGATTAAAAGATCACTGAATGAGTGAATGTAATCTATTAATGTGTATCATAAGGAATATTTCATAAGTAAGAGGTCTTGTTTTCAATATAGAAATACAGTTTCATGTTTCAAGGCTCATTATTAGTCTGGTTTGAAAAACTTGAAATGGCAACACGTAATCAGTCCATGTTTGTATCCGGGATCATATTGATTATATGTATTATAGATATTATGGACATATAGTTTATTTGACATCATGGGGATATTGTGTTTACAATAAGTTTGTACAATTGATTTCATACCCCATTAATATTTGTAATACAATAAAGTATTTAATTCAAGAAAGTACGTTGTTTGGTCTTCCTTTTTTATGTCACCACCAGTAGTTTCCAACTTTTTTTGTGTACAGAGTTCAGTCGTTTGGGTTCGGTGTCTGTAACAAATGGCAGGTGGTGACATATTGCATGTAATGCCTCATCTTGATCTGCATGTGAAGCTGTAGTTCATGATAAACTTTAACTAATTGACTGAATAAGTAAACATAACTCATCAAGTGTCCAAGTTTTAACAGTTGTGGAAAGTTGTAGTGAAGTTTATCATGTTCTAACCCCTGCTCTATGTAGCAAGATATTTCCAAAAAACTCCTCAAAACCTCAGAAATGAAATTATAGCCCATGGGGTCCCAAAAATATTCAATAACTTGTAGATTTACACAGGGTTATCAAGTCATTTAAGTGTTAACTGGTAGATTAATACAGGGATATAGTAATTTAAGTGCCCTCAAAAATTAACTTGAGAAATTGTACAAGGAAAGGACACTGAGTAAAATTCTGAGTTGCCTAGGAGACTGCCAGAGGACAATTGGAAATATACCGCCGAATAATTTTTAAATACTTCAGCCAATCGAATGAAAGTCATTTCATTTTACTCCAACATACTTATGTCGATAGAAATGCCAAGTAGCAGGTCTAAAACCAGTTCAGGTAGGTACAGTAAAACCTGTCTAAGTGGAACACCTTTGGTACCTCGAACAAGTGTTCACTTGGGAAGTGTTCCACTTAAAGAGGTTCAATTAACATTAAGTCAGTTCAATGTAAGTTCATCTCTCTGGTTTATTGATACTAAACAACTTTATTCATTTCTTCAGAGAATCTTTTTTATTAGATCAAGGCTTTCGTTGTTCTTCCATGTTCTATGACGTCATACATGTATGTGTTATATTTTCTTTATAAATATTGAAAAAGACTTTGGGATACAAGTCGAAAGCCTTGATCTCATAAAAAAAATTTTCTGAAGAAATGAATAAAGTTGTTTTAGCATATTAAGGTATGAGGTTCCATATCCATCCGCCAAAAGGTATGACCCCTATATAGTCCATTTAAAAACTCGTGGTATTGTTCTAAATAACGCCATAGTTTGCTTCTAGGGTACCTAGTATGCCACTATTTGGTATCAAAATAAAGAGGAGGAGTTCAACTTTCATTTGAATTACGAAAATAGCGATGTAGGTCAAAAATAGTTCCGACGTGAAGGTGTTTACTACGCGTTTGCCCGTCATATCAGAATTGAGGAAGTGGTAGCAAACGCGAGTCACAATAAATGGACGCTGATATCTCAAAAAGTAACCTGACTCCCTATAATTTGATGTAGATCAATCGAACCCCTATATGAACAGGTACATTTTGATATATAACACTATGGGGGGTAAGCGTTTTATAGTTGGTCACGAACGCCATATGTGCAAAGTATTGTTATGAATTTTCGAATTTGGTGTTGGATTACGGAACTCATACCTTAATATGAGGCCTAAAATTGTCTGCTAGTTGGCCAGAGACCAATATTCTAGCAGAATTTGAGAACAGAATCGATTTTTTCGTTCTGCGTAGGGCAAACAATGATTTGAAATCACTTTCAACCATTCTGTGAGTATAAGAATGGTCATAAGAGGCCCGTGGAGGGTCATGGATGAAAGAGAGCCCTCTGAAATTCCGTCAAAATTGCAGGTTATTTCTTCATTTTTTGCTAAAATTACATGATTTTCAGGGCCCATATCTCAGTGAAATTGCTACAATGTAGCGATTTTTCATTTTTACAGGCTAGATACACGTGTCAGGTCGACAGAAACAGTAATCATGTGTGATTTTTAAATTGCTACATTGTAGCAATATTTATTTCAAAATACAGGTGTGAGGGAAACTGCAATTTAGTTAGATTTGGGCGAAAATGGCCAAATTTCAGTCAAAATCCTCGGGACACGGGGCCTTTGTCTTAGATTTAGTCAATGATGCAACTCTTAGTAGAAGCTGTGCCATATAGGGAATGAAAGCTGTTTGTCAGACGTATCATCTTCTTCAATAAACTCAGAGATAGTCAGGTTAGATTTGTGACGTCACAGTGGCAAAGTTAGACTAGCATATTTAGACGTATTTGGGGTAGGGCAAATTAACCCTTTCTAGCCTAAATGGATAAATTTTTCACATATTCAGCCAGTTCCGACGTTTTTATGCATTTTTGAACTAAAAATGATATTTTCTGCCAAAAAAAGTTGCAGAGACAAAAATCAGTGTGATGTCATAACACATTAATATGAGGCCTAAAATTGTCTGCTAGTTGGCCAGAGACCAATATTCTAGCAGAATTTGAGAACAGAATCGATTTTTTCGTTCTGCGTAGGGCAAACAATGATTTGAAATCACTTTCAACCATTCTGTGAGTATAAGAATGGTCATAAGAGGCCCGTGGAGGGTCATGGATGAAAGAGAGCCCTCTGAAATTCCGTCAAAATTGCAGGTTATTTCTTCATTTTTTGCTAAAATTACATGATTTTCAGGGCCCATATCTCAGTGAAATTGCTACAATGTAGCGATTTTTCATTTTTACAGGCTAGATACACGTGTCAGGTCGACAGAAACAGTAATCATGTGTGATTTTTAAATTGCTACATTGTAGCAATATTTATTTCAAAATACAGGTGTGAGGGAAACTGCAATTTAGTTAGATTTGGGCGAAAATGGCCAAATTTCAGTCAAAATCCTCGGGACACGGGGCCTTTGTCTTAGATTTAGTCAATGATGCAACTCTTAGTAGAAGGTGTGCCATATAGGGAATGAAAGCTGTTTGTCAGACGTATCATCTTCTTCAATAAACTCAGAGATAGTCAGGTTAGATTTGTGACGTCACAGTGGCAAAGTTAGACTAGCATATTTAGACGTATTTGGGGTAGGGCAAATTAACCCTTTCTAGCCTAAATGGATAAATTTTTCACATATTCAGCCAGTTCCGACGTTTTTATGCATTTTTGAACTAAAAATGATATTTTCTGCCAAAAAAAGTTGCAGAGACAAAAATCAGTGTGATGTCATAACACATTAAGGTATGAGGTTCCATATCCATCCGCCAAAAGGTATGACCCCTATATAGTCCATTTAAAAACTCGTGGTATTGTTCTAAATAACGCCATAGTTTGCTTCTAGGGTACCTAGTATGCCACTATTTGGTATCAAAATAAAGAGGAGGAGTTCAACTTTCATTTGAATTACGAAAATAGCGATGTAGGTCAAAAATAGTTCCGACGTGAAGGTGTTTACTACGCGTTTGCCCGTCATATCAGAATTGAGGAAGTGGTAGCAAACGCGAGTCACAATAAATGGACGCTGATATCTCAAAAAGTAACCTGACTCCCTATAATTTGATGTAGATCAATCGAACCCCTATATGAACAGGTACATTTTGATATATAACACTATGGGGGGTAAGCGTTTTATAGTTGGTCACGAACGCCATATGTGCAAAGTATTGTTATGAATTTTCGAATTTGGTGTTGGATTACGGAACTCATACCTTAATATGAGGCCTAAAATTGTCTGCTAGTTGGCCAGAGACCAATATTCTAGCAGAATTTGAGAACAGAATCGATTTTTTCGTTCTGCGTAGGGCAAACAATGATTTGAAATCACTTTCAACCATTCTGTGAGTATAAGAATGGTCATAAGAGGCCCGTGGAGGGTCATGGATGAAAGAGAGCCCTCTGAAATTCCGTCAAAATTGCAGGTTATTTCTTCATTTTTTGCTAAAATTACATGATTTTCAGGGCCCATATCTCAGTGAAATTGCTACAATGTAGCGATTTTTCATTTTTACAGGCTAGATACACGTGTCAGGTCGACAGAAACAGTAATCATGTGTGATTTTTAAATTGCTACATTGTAGCAATATTTATTTCAAAATACAGGTGTGAGGGAAACTGCAATTTAGTTAGATTTGGGCGAAAATGGCCAAATTTCAGTCAAAATCCTCGGGACACGGGGCCTTTGTCTTAGATTTAGTCAATGATGCAACTCTTAGTAGAAGCTGTGCCATATAGGGAATGAAAGCTGTTTGTCAGACGTATCATCTTCTTCAATAAACTCAGAGATAGTCAGGTTAGATTTGTGACGTCACAGTGGCAAAGTTAGACTAGCATATTTAGACGTATTTGGGGTAGGGCAAATTAACCCTTTCTAGCCTAAATGGATAAATTTTTCACATATTCAGCCAGTTCCGACGTTTTTATGCATTTTTGAACTAAAAATGATATTTTCTGCCAAAAAAAGTTGCAGAGACAAAAATCAGTGTGATGTCATAACACATTAATATGAGGCCTAAAATTGTCTGCTAGTTGGCCAGAGACCAATATTCTAGCAGAATTTGAGAACAGAATCGATTTTTTCGTTCTGCGTAGGGCAAACAATGATTTGAAATCACTTTCAACCATTCTGTGAGTATAAGAATGGTCATAAGAGGCCCGTGGAGGGTCATGGATGAAAGAGAGCCCTCTGAAATTCCGTCAAAATTGCAGGTTATTTCTTCATTTTTTGCTAAAATTACATGATTTTCAGGGCCCATATCTCAGTGAAATTGCTACAATGTAGCGATTTTTCATTTTTACAGGCTAGATACACGTGTCAGGTCGACAGAAACAGTAATCATGTGTGATTTTTAAATTGCTACATTGTAGCAATATTTATTTCAAAATACAGGTGTGAGGGAAACTGCAATTTAGTTAGATTTGGGCGAAAATGGCCAAATTTCAGTCAAAATCCTCGGGACACGGGGCCTTTGTCTTAGATTTAGTCAATGATGCAACTCTTAGTAGAAGGTGTGCCATATAGGGAATGAAAGCTGTTTGTCAGACGTATCATCTTCTTCAATAAACTCAGAGATAGTCAGGTTAGATTTGTGACGTCACAGTGGCAAAGTTAGACTAGCATATTTAGACGTATTTGGGGTAGGGCAAATTAACCCTTTCTAGCCTAAATGGATAAATTTTTCACATATTCAGCCAGTTCCGACGTTTTTATGCATTTTTGAACTAAAAATGATATTTTCTGCCAAAAAAAGTTGCAGAGACAAAAATCAGTGTGATGTCATAACACATTAAGGTATGAGGTTCCATATCCATCCGCCAAAAGGTATGACCCCTATATAGTCCATTTAAAAACTCGTGGTATTGTTCTAAATAACGCCATAGTTTGCTTCTAGGGTACCTAGTATGCCACTATTTGGTATCAAAATAAAGAGGAGGAGTTCAACTTTCATTTGAATTACGAAAATAGCGATGTAGGTCAAAAATAGTTCCGACGTGAAGGTGTTTACTACGCGTTTGCCCGTCATATCAGAATTGAGGAAGTGGTAGCAAACGCGAGTCACAATAAATGGACGCTGATATCTCAAAAAGTAACCTGACTCCCTATAATTTGATGTAGATCAATCGAACCCCTATATGAACAGGTACATTTTGATATATAACACTATGGGGGGTAAGCGTTTTATAGTTGGTCACGAACGCCATATGTGCAAAGTATTGTTATGAATTTTCGAATTTGGTGTTGGATTACGGAACTCATACCTTAAGTCAGTTGGTCTTGGAACTCTGAATTTTTTAAGCATCAAAAGTCAACGTGAAACATCCAACGTAATAGTAACTTTTTGGAAGTTGGAGGTGGCAATATGATAGACAATAAGTAAATAGCGATCATTATTATCCATCTACTAATGTAGAATTTGGAATTCAACTCATGACAATTGTATGAATGACGTAAAAATAATTCTGGACTCCTTATGGGCAATCACATTTCCAATGTGTACTTTATTAAAATACATTGTATTTCATCCATACAATATGATATGATGTGATATGATATAATGTGATATAATAGATAGGATATTTATGCATGCCCTAATATAATATGGCAAATTCATGATTTCATAAATCAGGAACAATAACCAGACTTCAAATGTTCACACTTATTAACTTCAGTATAAATTTCAATATCAATTTCATCTCTATTTATCATGATAACACTGAAGTTATTAACATTTTTGATGATGTAGAAGATCTTATCTAAGTATCTAGCATTAGACTACATCCAAACTATTTATAAATAAAAAAGATGCAACTACAAAATTAACAAACTGTTGCAGGGAATCTGCCTATTATTATATTATAATGCAAGGCATTAACATGCAAAATGTCACCACCTGCCATTTGTTACAGAGACCGAACTCCGAACACCAACCACCATACACCAACTGCTGACTGCCATCACAAAAAAGTTGGAGACTATAACAATATGTCACTACTTCGGTGGTGACATAATAAGCCAGATGATTTTATATTCATGATTTCTGTTTATAATATATGACTATATAGACTACAGAGTGACCCAAAAAGAAGCCCCTAAGATTATCAACATAACAACTATAAAAGGTATCAGTTCAATTCTGAGGTACTTGATCTCTAATTTGTGTGTGATAAAGTCACACTATAGTTATCATGTAATGCTTTCTTAATACCTGTCCAAAATAAGTTGACATCATTTATAGTTAAGAAATTATTGGTGGTTATTGGGGCCTACTTTTTGGGCCACCCTGTAGAAATCACCAGGATTGTATTCCTATTTTATCACATCAAATGACTACAAATGGGTGCAACAAAACCTGCTTTACTTCTTTATAAAACAAACATCTAACATCACTAGTTAAACAGATTTTACTCTTAGAAAATAGTGATTTTGTCCTGCTTGTATGTAACTAGAGACATTCAACAAACACTCAGTGTAACTGAAAATCACCTTATGGTGTTAGGACTTAAAGCACTGAATTGTTCAAGACTTGCTAGTTTTCCAGTGTTCAGGCCCTATCTTACACTATAAAATTTATATATTCATTATTTTCACCAATAACCTATAAGTTCAATTCCTCCCATTTCACACTCTTATAAAGTTACATGAACATGCAAAGACTAAGAGGGATATACATTATGATGTATATCCACCTGAAAGCAAAGCTATTCAGTTTTGTATATCCACCTGAAAGCTATTCAGTTTTGTATATCCACCTGAAAGCTATTCAGTTTTGTTTATCTACATGAAAGCTATTCAGTTTTGATTGACCACTCTCTAGCTACATCCATATTGATCCCAGACACATCATTTACAAACCCATTTATACGTATATTTCACCTACACACATAATGCACAGATACATGAATATTAAACTATGTCCATTTTCAGCTAACGCTATATACAAATATATACAATAGATGGTTATATTGGGGCTATTTCAGCAATAGGCCCTATCACATATCTCATGTTGGAGAATCCACTGGTGGAGTCCATTTCAGAGAGTTAGGATCAATTGATTTTTGATCAAGGGGTCTTCTGGCCTGTTTTGACAGGAACTCCTCCAATAATTCCTGTCTTTTGAGCACTATATGTTTTCCTTTCCAATATTTAAGCATACCTAGTGCCTGTAATGTGCTGACAATGTCATTGGCATGAATGGCTGTCTCTTGAGAGATGTCTGAAAACAGAAATTGATTAAAACACCTCAATATGTGAGTTTTCAGCTACTGTTTTTTGATAGCTCAAAGACAACAATGTTACCAGGTTCTTTCAATGCAATTTTGACCAGGTAGTGTTTAATTTCAAATATTAACCTTATCTTAAGCTGGGGAAAAAGACATAAACTTTCCGGTCTAGTGAAAATCTTCACCACAAAAATTATGAAAAATGTGAATATTATGAGAGTGTTATTTCAATTGGGACAAAATGTTTATCATCTTTCATTCTAGCTTTTTTTAAAACCAACCTTTTATTGATATATCTGTATCTGAGTAGTTATAGAGATAGTTGAGGAGTACATCTTTCCAGTAACTACGGTAACTGATTAAACCTAGATCTGACAGAGGGCGCTCTGGTGAACCAATTTTTTCCTCTGCTCTGCTGAGTAAATAACCTAAAATAAGAGTTTGCTTAAAACGTGAATCTTATTTGAACTGGCATGTTGTACAAGATTATTGTAATGGCCCTAAATATCCCCAAAGTGTATACTTTTATTTGAGGAAAACTAAAGATTTTTACAAAAATGCATTCATTTTTTTCTATAAATATGATAACAATATTTATTATTTAGGAGAATTTAAACATTATTCCCCATTTTTGAAATTTAAAACTAAAACAACTTCACCAATAGATAAATTATTGTGGATCTTTCTTTTATATTTGAGATTGTAAGGAAAATATTGGTAGGTCAACTGTACATGTTGCTTGCAATTCTGTCACTCCCTGAAGATCCAATTATCCATCATTTTATTTGATCCATAAATGATAAAACACACATTTTTTGTCTCATTTTGTCAACATACAGATATTTTTGAATTTTTCCAAGGTCAACCTTCGTAGAATAAATGACACAAATAACATGTATTTACTCACTGAAATCAATCAGCATCTTGCCGAAGCCCTGCCTCATGCTCTGTGGTAGCGTCAAAATGCACGATACATTGTAGTTCAGGAATGACTTCTTCTCCTGAAGATAGGATAATACATGCTTTTATACATAAATGTAAATCACATATCATTATTAAAATATTTTTGTATGAAATAACCAATAAATATATGTCAAAAGAAAGTCAGACAACTGAGAAATTTATACAACCGTTGTTTCATTAATGAGTCCTTCTCATGCAGCCTTCATTATCTTTATTTATGAGTTAAGAAACAACAGATATTATATTTCTTATTTTCACTCTATAAACCTACATAAAATGAAATGTTTAAAGTTTTACAATTAATCCAAACAAAAAACTGTAATTGTACCATTGAGATATTATTTGTGGCAATAATAGTATTGTTACAATACAATCACCAAAAGGTATATGTAATCTAATTTCTCCCATAACCCTGTAACTACTGAAGTATTTAAGTTGAATGTTAAACATCCAAGACTCAAAATGAATGGTGTATCAAACCAAATACTGAAAAGCAGTAAAACCTATGTGAACCATTTGGTATCTCAAGAGTTTTTCATATAGGCAGTGTTGTACTCATAAAGCACTTTTCATATACATTTTCCGAATGGTCAAATTTCATCATTTTCCTAATTTTAAATTTTCCTAATGACAAGAAACCTCCCATTGGATAACATTATAAAGACAATATTTCCGACATTTTATTTTCCGAACCTGACAAAAATTAGGAAATAGGCAAATTAAATGATTAGGCAAAATTACCACTTATACAGTATTGGGTTCAATCCTTAAAGAGCACATTTCATATCAAGATCAGTGCTTATACAGAGCATGTTTTATGTTACCCTGTTATTCTACTGTACATTACCTTTGAAAAATATCCGACAATGTGGCACCCATGCATGTCCGCCTCAGTCATAACATAAAACAGGAATGGCTCAACGTCAAAGTACAACGTTTTGTGGTCCAAGAATAACTTAGCTAAGAGACAGAGATTTTGACAGTAGATCTGAAATACATGTGCGGAAGAGATGATCGTAAGACAGGCTAAACTTATTAAATTATATGCATTACATTAAGAGAGACTTTTTTCCTCAAAAAGCTAATCAAATCCATCAAAAAATATGTCAGTTAATAAATAGTTTCCATATCTTAGATTATAGAAACTACAAAGTACACTTAAAAGTACTGTTTATTTAAATCAAGATTTCTGCAAAACAAACAAGATTCAAAAAAGACGATTAAAGGAAACAATACATTTTCAGATTCTCTTCTGATTTATATCACTCATTCAGGACAATGTAATTTCCCTGAGTTTGACCATACCAGTGGTAAATTTTAATATTATTTCAAAATGATAATAATTACCTTGTTTTTCTTCCCATCAACCTCAAACATAGATATATTGCCCTTCCTATATATTTCATCACCAGGCGGATGGCGCCAGACACATTTAGCCTGAAATGGAGTGTAGGATTCATAAAATATTGTTAAGGCCTTGGAAAACACAGATCATGCTTGAAAATTACTCTCCAATAGCATACATGTTAATCAACTATTCTGGCTCATCATATACTAAGAAGTTCTATAAATAACTTGTATGTCAGCCAGTTGTTTAAATTGGAATCTATCAATTCATCAAATTTAGATATACAAAGTTATATTATTAGTAGTTTGAAAATATCAACTGAAGAATACATGGTCATAATTATTAAATTTTTATTCAGCATATTTCATGTCCAAAATTTTTCAAAAGTTCAATTCTACCAAATATTGTTTTACTCTTTTATAAAACACTATCTATACTTACTGCATGCCGTCTCATAATAGTTGAAGTTTTCATATATTTGAGGCAGAATTCACAAATGTAGATTTTTGGTAGACGTACATATTCTTCAGGGTAAGGCGAGGCATACCAAGTATCCATTTCAAATCTTCCCAGTTCAAGCTTTTTTAGTCTATATTCTTGTTTCTCACTGAGCTGGTAGTGTTGTATCACCTCATTCTGTTGATGCTAGAAATAAAGACAGTGTTGAAGACTAGATATAATCTTTATTAATACATCCAAATATTTGGCATAAACAAAATGTGCTGAAATAATACGATGAATGGTACATCAGTCAATTATTTAAACTATTTTCCACATTTTATTTCACATGCCTTTAACTTCTGTCTAAAACCTATGACTCTAGACAACTCTCACATTTTACTGAGTTGGGCTTGAGTTTCAGATAGATTTGACAAGTTGAAATCGACTTGAATTTTACCTCTAGCGATCATGAGCTAAAAACACCATATGGGACACCATTCATATCATAGTAGCTGTTTCATGGTACTTACTTCACATGCTCTCGCCTGCGCCTCCCTGAACATATCCAAGTCAAACTTGCATGTTAACCCATTTAACAGAGGCTCTCTAGTGTTCTGATGCTGGACAGTGTGGTCTTTAGCAATCTCAACTTGTTCAGCTGTGATTTCACTACGCTTTTTACGTAGCTCATTCACTTCCTTTTTTCGTTTTCTTTGGTCATCTGATGGATTCTACAATCCCATATGAGCAAGGTTAACAACTTTTTCTAAAAATCGATGATTGGTTTATTGTTGTTCTACAAAATGTATTGCTTATGTATACTTATTAATTTAACACTATTTAACTTGATGAAACATTTTCGCAATACTGGATATTTTGCATTTTAAAATGCAAAAAATGAAATGAACAGGGATGTACAAGTATAAACCTCCAAATGCAACTGACTTTTATTCTACTTTAGCCAATATTTACAAATAACAACAACCTCCAGATGTGAGCAATGCCAGCATACCTGGTGCCTTGTTCCTATGCGTCCGCTTTCAATCTGAATTAACATCTTTGTACGTTTGTCAGCCTGCACCTGTCGAACCTTGTATTTTTCCTGGATGAAAAATTCAGCCACATTGACTTTAAATATATCAGAAATGGTTAGAATTCCTAATTCTTTAAATAATGGTGGACTATGATCTCCATGTCCACTCTGAGTAACTAATCTTGCAAATTTCTTTTGTATTAAATGAAGTGAACTAATTGAGGTGATATTGGCATTTCCCCAAATGATATTACTGTATGTTAAATAGGAATGAATTAGAGAATGATATATAGTCATGCAGGTTTTCCTATCTAGAAAATGATTAATCTTGTACAAAATGCCAACCATTCTCGATATTTTCATTGACTTTACTAATATGGTCATTCTATGTAAGGTGTTGGTCAATGATCAATCCAAGAAAATTAGTATTTGTTACTCTTTCAATCTTTCTACCATCAATAAATATATCTAAATTCCTGGTATTTACCTTTTTTTGCTTTGAAAAAATAATATGTATTTGGTTTTATTAATATCAAGACACAGTTTATTGGCTAGAAGCCAATCTCTAATTCGATTAAGTTCAGTATTCAAAGTATCTTTAATTTCAATAAGGTTTTTTCCACTGATTAAAATATTTGTATCGTCAGCAAACAGAACAAAGAGAAGTGCTGGAGAGGACAAGTAGATAACATTAATACACTGTAAAAGATAAAAATAACGGCCCTAAAACGGATCCCCACATTTGATAGTTTCGAAAAATGAAAAAAGTCAAAAAACTCAAGAGCAGGCCCCCTAAATAACTCTAGGGTTGGATAGAAGACTAATTATGCAATTCTCAATGTGGTAACAAGAGATTCGTGCTATCCTCTTTTAAAAGTGCAGTTTCATTCAAGTGCAATGTTTCCAATGGTAGTTGACATCTTTGACAGAATCAATGAATTCTTTGGACTTTTGCAGAGCAGAGAAAGAAAAATACAGTACTGAATTTGGAGATTGCAGTATCAAAACTTTAAACTTTTAATTCAAGTGGCCATCACATATTCATATAATCATTCTTCTGGCCATAGGAAAACTGGTCTTATCACAAAAATTGAAATTGTGCTACAGGGACAAAAATGTGCCCAAGATTGAGAGGAAAATTAGAATATTGAAAAAAATCCATAATAAGACCCCTTTTCCTGTGGCCTGGCTCATATACAGGTTGTAGTGGCTCCCAAGAGGGAGTATTAGGTGCCACATAATGGTATTTACAATGATTTGTGAAATATTATAAGAAGTGTTCTGTTACACACTTAACACAAATGAAACACATACCTTGCACTCTATAGCTGTCATGTTGTGATAGAGAGGGCAGCCTGATATTGTGTGGTGACGATCAAATTTACCAGTCAAATGGCCTGAAAAATATTGTTTATTAAGATAACACATATCCCTTCTAGGCCAATCACACATTCACACAACATTTGACAGATACTTTTAAGTCAAACATATCTATTTCCTCTTTCAAATAAATAGTTAATCTCCAATTTTTGAGATTTCAGGATATTGGTCAAAATTAGGGTAGAGATGTTGGCAATTTTATGCAGACTCAATGGAGATACATAAAGTAATATAAATATACCGTATTCTCTCTAATGAGCACACAGTTCCAATGAGCGTATATGTGACTTTTATGTTGAATATGATCTCCAGAAAACATGAAGTTTAATGTATTAGTTTTGATTATTTACACAACAAGATATTGATTGTTGATTATATTTAATGCAGAGAAAGAAATGCAGGAGCTGTGGGTAGAGCATATAAACAACTAACATAATGATAACAACTAAAAAGATTATTGGCAATATTTTTTTCAAATTTTTTAGTAGGTGCGCTTATTGGAATCTCTCAATATATTACCTGTGATCTTCGCAGGATTTTTTCTCAACTGGGTGCAAAATTCTCATTTTCACAATTCAGACCAAAATTGGCCAAAATATGCAAATTTTTCATGATTTTTCTCATTTTCAAGTGGGTGCAAATGGATTTTCAGGTGGCTGCAAGGCTGTTTTCAAAATCTCAGGTGGGTGCTGCACCCACTGATTACCTTTTTAAATTTCAATTTGGAAACGGCACTAGTGAGAGAGAATATGGTACCTAAAATTGTCAATCTATGTCTAATGAGAATATTAGGTGATATGTTACCTGCAGAGTCACAACCTGGGGTAGGGCAAGACTTTGATTGTGCGATCTCTAGTGAAGAAGTAACTCTTGAATCGATCCGCCCTCGTGGTTTGGAATTAGCTCTCGAATCTTTGGACTTCAGCACTGGTCGTGGCGCTTTACCCCCCACCCTAGGGGACCCTTTGATGGGGGTCATATGTTCTGTCTCAGCTATAACTTTTGATCTGCGTTTCTGAACTGGGGGTGGGACTTTAACTGGGCTTTTCTTTTTCTCGGGGAGTTTCAGTTTTTTAGGAGGTGGTATTGGACTAGGTGCACTTGATTCTGTGTCTGAGCTTGAACTGCTGGAACTTGATGAGCTGGAGTCAACTTTCTGTCGCTTAGCATACCGCTGACCTGGAAAATTAAATGTTATAAACGATGATATAATGATGACAAGCTAAAAATAACAATACATGTACCAAGTATTTACATACAAAAAACACCACTTGCCCTTTGTTACAGACACCAAATTCTGTCACAATTTGTCACAAAAAAGTTGGAGATCTAATGACAATATGTAAAACTTTTGGTGGTGACATAAAAAGGCAAAATGAAGAGAGTTCAGTAGAAAATAGAAATTTCCACTCAAGTATAACTCCTCTGACAGCTATTAAGATCATTTTCAATCTTCCTAATGGTACTCATCCATAAAATATGCATATTGATAATATGCTTGCCAGTTGTAAACATTGGATAACAGAACATTAACAGGGCTCTCATCTGGAAATATTTAAGGTGTGGCGGAAACATTTTCAGCATTACCATTCGATCGTAAAAATCATATGGAAACAATCATGATTTGCCAATATGTTGTGATGGTAGCTAAATAGACTTAGACTGTGGAGCTGCGCCGCAGTCTAAAAGCCTAGCAAGAGCCCTTTTTAAGATTGGCAAGTTTTCAATAATTTTATCAGTGAGAAAAAATGAATCTGAATCACATGGATTGGAAATAAAAGTCAGCATCAAAAATTGTTTACTAAAATACATTTGGCATTGATTTTGGATGCTGAAACACAGTATGAACTTTCAAGAAATTATGAACTATCTAGAAAACAAAACATACTTCGAGATGAGGAATCATTGGCATCATTTTTACTTTTGCTTGGCTTTGATCCTGGACTATCACTACTCGAAGAACTTGAGCTGCTAGACCCAGAGCTACTGGATGAACTCGAACTTGAAGATGATGATATTCTCTGAAAGAAAATGGATAATGTTTAGAGTAATATGCATTATATAAGATTGTGGACATTAAGTAGTGTTTGCAATGGTAATGGATCTCACTACCAGTAATTGTCAAAATTCATTAGTCAATGACAATCACTGAAATTGATAATGTTTCTGAAATCCAAAGGAAAAAAGCTGAAGTGAAACTAAAATATTTGAAAAAACCCACAATGAAGCTGATTTTTCACCTTGATTCCCTGCTTACATCAATTGTAGTAAATGTATTGTATCATTGTATTGTATGTGATTGTGCATTGTTATAAAGACATTGAAACAATAATAAAGAATAAATGTGATCAAAACTGATCAAAATATTTATGTTTGTTTTTAACCTAGTCGTAATTTCATGTCACATCATTTGTAAAACTTGTGGGGGTCTATTTTATTGGTCAAACGTCAGAGGTGATTAACAGAAGTGGTGGAGTTTGTGAATTGAATTGATTTTGTAGGTATCGAATAATTATTTCAGGCCTAAAGGTCTAAAAGCAAATCCATTATCGCACATAAATATATATAATTTTTCTGCATTCTTAATTTTTACATTACATTAAATATCTAAATTAATAAATTAATAAAAAAGATAAACATCTGAATACATGTATTCAGCACAAAGCTGTCCTTTGTTTGGTAATATTTCACTTTTATTAACTCACGAAAAGTGATTTAATCTTTTGTACTGTTCTGTTGGAATAGACTAAATGCCAGTAGAAATAATCTTGATTTACATCATTAAATATTCAAAATTAAGTTAAAGGGATGTCATATTTGAATTCTACATGTAAAAGTACACATGAATATGTTTTCGAAAATTGTTTATCAACTTTAAAAATTTAATTTTTTGAAAATGTGACTTCTAGTTCGGGGATATTCCCCAAAGACCCCATGTTATAAAATCACAAAAAGTGAAATATCTTTTCTTGTATTGGACAGATAACATTTTCTTTTACTGGACATATTTTAATTTGCATAACTATTAGATACATAAGGGTGTTATGAAAATTGAACCACACAAACAAATGAATATTAAATTAACTACATAGTGTAATACCCACCATGCTATATGACCCAAATGAGCCACCTGGTGGTAAAGCTGTTAACTACCTACCCACATCTGAGCTATTGCAGTAAAATTTTATGCGCACAATTATCAATTTGAGGAAGCATTATTTCACAAAAATGAAAATAATGTAACTAGACGTCAAGATTGCAAGCAGTCTTACATATGCCCCATTGGTGTTTTTTAAAATCAATCAAAGGTTAAATATCAAATTTAAAATTATATATGAACTCCTGGCAACTCGTAGATATATGATTTATCCTTTCAGAAGTTAGTAAAACATTCAACCTAACAGCACATAACCTTTCCAAGTAATAAAATATGAATTTAAACAGACTTACTTCACGAACTCCAGAAGATTTGATACAGTTTATTTTGAGCATGTATGCACATATAAGTGTAACCTGATGAATGCGACCCTCACGTGCCTTCCAAATGATAGTAAATGAAATCCAATGTAACTACATCAGCTTATCTTTCCGTCCGATCAACAATAAGTACAGTTATACAAGAAATGTAAATAAACTGAAAATATTCCCCAAAATTTTCTGAATGGGTTGGAATGAATGGTAATATAACATATCATAACTTCCGGAAATGACAAGCCATTCAGAAAATTTAGAGGAATATTTTCAGTTCGTTTACATTTCTTGTATAACTGTACTTATTGTTGATTGGACGGAAAGATAAGCTGATGTAGTTACATTGGAGTTCGTTTACTACCATTTGGAAGGTATTTGAGGGTCCCATTCATCAGGTAACACTTACATGTCGAAGTTGAGTTCTTGCTCTTTTTAACATGAAATGCACAGTACAGTCTGAATTTACTCAGTCGAAGGATACAGTCTAAGTCTAGGCCTAGTTTACTCGCTAAATAAAATAACTGATGAAGACTGTATTAAAAACGGTTCCAAAGATACTAACGGTATAGTGCTGAAATTAAAAGATGTTGCGTTTTCAAAAGAATATAAGATTTTGTAAAGTGTGGGCGATAATAGAGATAAATCTGAATGGGAAAAATACAAATTTTGCAGAACATTTATTTCTATTATGAAGGGCTATGGTGTTCATTCAACCTTACCTTTCTCTTTGGCATGCTTATATTGTGTGATTTCTTTGATTTTAGACGTTTTTCTCACTCCATTAAAAAGATATTTAGTTTTTTCTGGGGAACAAAATTCGATAAGAAAAAGCCGGAAATGGCGCGAATGAAAGTAGGTCATGAGACTTTACGAGACTTGTGCGAGACATGCGAACTTCTGGAATTGGATTTAGAACTTTTTCACACATTATAACCCGTATTTCGTATAAATACGACAGTATTCTCTTTCCAAAGTGCAAAGGATTTATAGCAACGATGTCCAGTGAACAATTAACCTTCTTTGAGCCCATAAAGGGTATGAAAATTGCTTATGAAAAAATGGCGGGACAAGTAGATGTGATGAGTGACATCGGATATCCTGGAATCGTATTTTGCTCAGGTTTTATGTCGAGTATGGAAGGAACCAAGGCCGTGGCCCTACATAACTTTTGTAAGAAACGTAACCTCAGCTATGTCAGGTAAGATTCACTTTGTTTATTGTTTTATTGTCCCACTAGATCTAAACGAAGTTTGGAGGGATTTAGAGAACGACTCTGTCCGTCTGTCTGTTCGAAAATCGATTTTCACATGATCTTAAAAAATACAAATAGAATAATAAGGTAAGTGATGAATAGGTTTCAGGAATATGATAGAATGATAGGTCTAGTGTCAAAAGAGTGAAGTTATAAAATACTAGCCCCGGAGTTATATAATAAGTAGGTAGCTACGACCGGGACTATTAATGAAGCTAGCATTTTATGATTCAATAAATGATCGATGATTGTAAAGACAAAGGGCGAATTTTATGTCTAGATATTGAAAGACTAAAACAAACCAAAACTCCAAATATTGATAATAATTCACAGATGCAAATCTTTAACTCAAAAGAAGACAATGAACAATTTTACCATTCATCTTATTCATTAATTTATTTTACAAACAAAATATTTCACATACCAAAAGCTTACTATTAAAGTATCACTTACAATGAGGAAATCAATTCTAGTTAATATAAGAGCAAACATCAAAAGCAAAATCTGCAGTCAGGTGAATATCATAAATTCCTTAAAAACCTGAAGCTAAGTTGTTCTTAATAATATGAATTGATTCCAATCTTACTATAAATCATCTTTAAATCTCTTCCTTCATAAGGCTTTTAGATTTCTCATGATTCTTTTAGTAAAACAAGATAATGAAATAGAAATGGTATAAACTCTCATTAAAAGTAAAAACTGACGCTTACCTCAATAAGTTCAATTCGTTCCTAATTACCTCTTTTAAAATGACCATCTGTTATTCTGTTCTATTTCAAACCTATCACAGCTTCTGTGCATGTTTGACTTCCAACAGACTATAGAAATAATCAAAGTCTAAAAACATGAAACTTCTATTGTACTTTTGACTTCATTTGTCCTCTTATAGAAACTTGAAAGTTCTAAACTTTCATTTTCCATCTTTAGAACACTGAAAGTCCTTTACAATACTTTTCATCTAAATCAAATTGTTGTTCCCATCATTTACCAGCCAAGATGTGCCCTTGATGATCCGAAATTGCTAACCAAAGAGCTCGTACAATCCTCTCAATTTATACAAGACAATTTTCCATTAAAAAGTGATGTCAGTAACAAAATGATGTAGGTACAATAATGACGCTAATACTATACTTAGCATATGACACAATATGACGTACCAAAAATAAAGCAACGTTTCAACTTTTACAAGGCTAAATGAAATGGATACTCTGACATAGTTAGAACAACTGCATCATGTTTTTATGACTCAAGAGTGTACTTTATGAGGTGAAATTGACATCACTTTGCTCAAATCAGCTGACTGCAGTTTTGACTATCTTACTATTCAATTGATACAATATTATTCTAGTATGAATATATGATTACTAAGCAATAACTGATTATATTATAATGAGTGGGCCTCTACACTACCCCCTTCAATAGAAAAATTGTTCGTCCTCGAACAACATGTCTTAATATATAAGTCCTGTTTGCTTTAGATGTGCTATGCAGTGCAATGCAATACATTGTATGTAATATGATACACTACAATTTTTCTAAACTGTTCTTCAGAGATAAGGAGCTATAAGCTGATATATGTATGTCTATAACAATTTGTATATACATGTATACATTGTATGTCCATCAGAAGGTTTATATAGTTCTTGGTTTCATAACCCTTAGTTGAAATGTTCAAAGGTCAGTTTCATTTGCTGGTGCTGAGTATGGTATATTTGAAGTCTCTGCCGATCTATGTAGTCAGATGTAATATTGTTCTTTAGCTAGCAGAAAATCTCCTTATTGTAGGCGGTATTGTTCTCTCCATCTTTTCTCATGTAGACAACTGGATTTTAGCATCCCATCTGACTTGTGTCAACTTGGAGGTAGCTCCAACTACAGTATCACTGCATGCTGCACAAAGGACACTGAGATCAACACGGGATCAGTGCTTTGTAGTATGCATTGAACTAGAGTAGACATCCTTTATACATTCTCATATCGCATTATCGCTACCCAGAGGCCTTCCAAGGGTTCCACCATAAAATGGCAAACCTAAAATTTAATAAGATTCTAACCTCTCTATCCTACTTGAAGGGTTTTAAGTATTTCTATGCAAACCCCCCTTAGGATCTTAAGGCATTAATCTTCTTAGGTTACTTAGATTAAGTCATATATAATAACTTGTCCAACATTAGACCATAGGGTGATCATTCCACCACCCTCTTTCTAATCTATACAAGTCTAATAATATACAATAATATATTGAATATAAGGAATTAAACAATACATTCTGTAACAAAATATGAAACTTCTTCAAAACATCAAACTCAACCTGCTTGTTCCAGGTTCTTCACAATTCTCTTTTGATTCATAACTTAATTCCATGAGATATATTTCTCATATAAAACAAATCTGGTTTCCCTAACAAAAACAACTATTAATCGCCTGTATATTTTACTTCTCTAATCTGAACAAACCAAGTCTTAAGTGGTTATCTCACCTCCCCCTGATAAAAGGCAGATTCCCTCTGTGAAACTTAATCTGAAAACGGTCTTGCTAAAGCAACAATACATCTATGCCTAACAAGTTTATATCTGTTGGCCTTGAAATTCAACACTGTTAAGGTTAAATGAGGATAATTCTCTTGGCCATGAGAACCATAGACATTATAACCTTGTGTTAATCCCAATGTAATTCTATACTCCAGATAGCACCATAATGATCAGTAGACTCAGTTTCAGTGCTCAAATTAAAAAAATAGTTAAATTTCCTTACCTCAGGTTTATCACACACTTCCGGATCAAAAGTTATGACATTGAGAAGTCTAGTCTCTGTCTATATGTAATCAATGATACTAAACTGTACCTCCCAACCCCAAGGTCTCAAAAGTTAAAGCCTCCTCAGCCTGTCATGCTGAGGAGACTGGGTAGCAATTCCTCAAGGGCAACATCTGACAAAAATTTAAATCTGACCCTTCATTGAACACCCTTGCAAATTGTGTGCTATATAACAGACAAGCACAACTGATCATCAATCAAGTATCAACCAAAATTAATAAAAAAGGTCCCTTAAAACAAGGTTTTAAGAGCATCTCACCAAGCTGCCACCAATATAAAATACTGTCCAAAAACCCGGAAATGAATTGTAAAAATAGGTAGTGTAAGCCAGAACAAAGAGAGATTGGACTAGTACTTCATAAGAAATTACTAATAAGGTGAGTGATGAATAGGTTTCAGGAATATGATAGAATGATAGGTCTAGTGTCAAAAGGGTGAAGTTACAGGGTGAAAATATAAACAAACCTACACCAAATACAACACAGCAAGCTAAAAAGAATAAGGGATTAGATACTTAAAATAAACCCACACCAACTACCAACTAATAGTAAATCACACAAGTATAAAATACCATCCAATAACCCGGAAGTGAATTATAGAAATATAGGTAGCGTGAGCCAGAACAAAGGGAAATTGGACTAGTACTTCATAAGAAATTACTAATGAGGTAAGTGATGAATCGGTGTCAGGAATATGATAGAATGATAGGTCTAGTGTAAAAGGGTGAAGTTACAAGGTGAAATATAAACCTACACAAATACAACACAGCAAGCTAAAAAGAATAAGGGATTAGGTACTTTAAATATCACCACACCAACTACCAACTAATAGTAAATCACACAAGAAATATATTCATTCAATAAAGTCTATTCTATTATACTTGCGTTTCATGTCACAACTGAAATATATATGTACAATGCAAATAAATAGTATTTAAATTATATAGATTATAATTTACATAAATGCTTAGTGTCTTTAAATCTATTAGGATGAAATTAATCTCAATAACGCTGAAATCTGCAGTCTGATAAAATGTCTTCAAAATTATGACCGGGATACTACTTCAAATCAGAAGAGAATTGCCAACAACGATCTTGTAATAAAGTTGAATTTTATGCCCTCTATAAATTCAGTCGGGAACTAATAGCATGAAAAGTGACGTCAGATATGCGTTAAAAGCCCGAACGAGATTTTGATAAATGGGAAAGAGCTGTGAACTTTCAACCGTCAAAGACTAAGGGTGTTATTTTAAACACCAGAGGTGCGAACTCGATGGAATGTGCCCGTAAGGACTTCTTTCAATTACAATCAAGTTCAAGTTCAAGTTAAAAGCTGTCTAGGATACAATAATCCACAAAGATGCTCAAGTTTCAATGAATGAATCTAGACTTCAAAAGTGACGTATGTGATCACGTGACTAAGTCGTCTGCTTTCCCCAAAGTTATGATTTAATTTGACCAATAATTCCCTTAATTGATAACTCGAATCTCTATTCTGTACTATCTTGAACCTTCCCAGCATATGGGCTTATCGGGACAAACTCCCAATCTTGTTCAACTGTTACAGACTGCAGATAACACCGTTAGGAAATACGTGCGGGAAAAATGAAAGTTTTGAAATGTTTTCTCAAAGTTCAATTATCGATCAATATTACTGTCTTAAATCTCTTCACTCCCTAATGGAATGCTATAGATTTCTATACAGTACTGAAAATCAACTTACCCAAACGCCAACACCCCGTTTTCCGTCAAAGATCACGTTCATAGCTCAACCGATCAAATCTAAGGATACTGTGCTGTCAGGCTGTAGCGAGTATTTTCCGAATCTTAGGTTCAGCAGTGCAGGAATTGTTACATTGTATCCGCGAAAGACACTTGTTTATATAGCAACAGATGGACATACGCAATCTTGGAGACGACGTAGGTAAAAATATATGTAATGTTGCTAAAAATGGGATATTACCAAGGTTTTTAGAGCTACGTAGGGTAGAAAAAAGGGCAGAAAGAGCAGCTTATTTGACAAGAATTATGAGGTAGGGACTGAGAAAATGATGTCACTTTGAAAAGTGACGCAAAGTTGAGACTGCAAATTCAGCGTTTTACAATGATAAATAGGTTTTTTCTATAAATA